ATTTCCTCTAGTGATATTAGTTAGAGTCTATATTTGTTTTAAGCATCTTAAATACTCTTTTAAGCATCACATTTTTCGGAGTAATATATTCAGGGAACCAAATCAGCCTAAACGATTTCCCTTATGGGTCGTCAAATTTTAAAACCTTTCTTAGTATGAATCCCAGCTAAAAGGAATTATGAGGAATCCATTCAAAACTCATTAGAGACTTTAGATGCATAGGCCTAGGGAAAAAGAAAATTAGCACACATTAATTTCATAAAAATAAACGCAAATACAACTAATATTCTCAGCATTCAATGAGTATATTCTCGAATAATCTCAGACCTTTTAATGTTGTGTGTTTTTTTAATTCATTTCAGTTCGACAATCCAAATATCTGTCATATACTTAACAAAAAGACTATACTCTCTAATTCGAGCAATTCTTACATTCACTCCCTCGGGTAAAATCCCACAAGAGTGACCCTAAATCTGGGAATGTAACCTTCTCAACCTACCTCAAACAAACACGCACCACAACATCCTATTGAACAAAGACCTTTTTTAAATGTTCGGTCAAACTTTTAAGAACCAAAAGTCCAATTTTTCTTTTATGTAAATATTGAACTAGTTGCACCTTTTTAAGTTATAGCTCTTTTGAGACCATTTCAATTCTACATTCATGTATTTATAATATATATTTTTTGAAAAAATGTCAAATTCATTCAGATAATGAAAGTACAATACAAAAAAATAACAAAAACAACACAAGCAAAGAGTGAACAGGGGAACAAGGAAGGGGGAAAAAATAAGAGGAGAGGAGAGCGCCACCGTCAATCATGATGTGGCCCTCTTAGCCAACATATTTGCCTCAGTATTAAAACCTCAGACCACATAATGGAAGATGACTTCATAATCTCTAAGCAGAATTAGGATTTCATCCATAACACCACTAATCTTCCAAGGAGTGGATTCTGGGTGAGAATACCATCTGAACACATTAGTTGATAATCTTCCAAGGAGTCGATTTTGGGTGAGAATACCATCTGAACACAATAGTTGAGTCGCCTTCGATAATAACTCTAGGGAAAGAATGATCCAACTTAGATTTTCAATGCCCAAAGCTCGGCTTCATTAATTTCCCAACCGTGTAGCTTTCCAAAATAAGTCCAGATCGTTGTAGCGTTTTGATCACGAAAAAGACCCCCAAAATCAGAGATCTGTCCCTTAACATTGTCGTCAAAATTCAGCTTCACCCAACCTTCAGGACGTTTGATCCATACACATCGAGTGGAGGTGCGTCTAGATTTGTATTGCATCAAATCTCTAAAGAGTAATTCCTTGGGCACGGTAGTAAGACGAAGAAAAGTATAGGTTCAAGCCACAATGGAGCATTGGACTGCTGAGAAAAAAAACGGCAGGTTTCTACTGCACCCTTCAAAGGATATGAAGTTCCATCCCCTTCATAGGTTCTATTACATAGTTGCAACAGAAATCCTCCATAGTTTACTCCTAAACGCAAGAAAGGAGGAGCCTAAAACTGGTGCACCATCGCAAGGACATCCATAGGCCTCGGTCCAATCCAGTTAGCACTGGACACCAACCACTCTCACGCAACTGCGGCGAATGGGCAATGGAGGAATAAATGCATTTATAATATGCTTAGAAAAAATATTATAGGGAAAACCTTATTTGGACCTTAGTATTATTCAATTTCACCCTCCTTTATTTTTTCTATCGTGCGGCATTAATTTCCGGCATTAATTTCCAGAGGTACTTATGAGTATGATATGAGTGTTCTTATACTTAATATTGGGTGTCCTGCATTATTTACGTGTTCCACACGTGTGTGGGCTGATGTGAGCGTATACAGTGCTCCTATCCTTGCAATATTGAGCGTCCCATACGATGCATGATGTCGTCACTCTTCTTGTTATATTAATGCAAAGGTCGAGAATGCTCCTCGTATTAACTTCACCAAAGTAGCACTAAAAAACGAGTTCTATTTAGAATGGGATACCATTTAGACGCGCATCCTTTTCCTCTCTCCATGATCCACTTTTGAGATTGGGTTTGAACCTAATTTTTTAGGAACATACATAATTTCTAACATAGAGAACATTAATATGTTGTTGTTGTAGTACTAGTAATTCAAGATTAAAAATAATATTTTTTGGAGAATAATTTTAGGGAAAATTGTTTCATGCAAGCTGGACCGCATGATTATATATGCGGTCTAAAAAGTGTAAAGCGTCCATCTTAAAGATAAATGTAAGTAGGTGTTTCATATAAAAACAATGGAAACTAACGATCCAAATGTTTTCTTACTAAAATTAATATTTCTAGTTTTTAAAAATTATTTATTTTTTCATATTCATGAGCTCCATGTTATAGATTACATGTCCTTAAAATTAAATCCAAAAATCTATCTCAAAAGTAGATTTATTTAAGAGACCCGCATTTCTACATATGCGGTCTTGGCCGCATAAAAACAGGGTCCAAAATTCTAGACGATAAGTTTTCTTCTTTTGCTAGGACCAACACTCTTTAAGATGGATGCACTGTGCTTCAGGCTAATTTAGTTTAAAATTTCATCCCCCGGCACACAAAACACTTCTACTTTAGAATAAGACAAATAATAACCTTGTGAAACACTATTGTACATTATGTACTAATATTATTTAGAAGGGAAATCATCAAAATGCCCATTAGATATGAAATATTGAATGTTTTACTCCATATTGTTTAATTTATTTCAAAATACCTAAAGACATATGATCATGAGTTGGAATAGTTGTAAATGTGTAAAATGTTAAATAGTACATCTCTCATGCGTATTTTGAAGAATTTTTGGAATTAAAATAACATGGTATATTTTCATCAACTAAATACTAAAAATAATATTCAAACGAGTACAAACATTCTCTATCCCAATAAAATAAAATAGAATAAAATAAATATGGAGATACTTAAAAACTCCAAATTCTATTATGTCATTTGTGTATTAAAATTGATAAGCCATCTAAGGCTTTGCAATGGTTGAGAAGATGAAACTAACTTTGTTAAGACCATAAATCCATTTCACCTTATCAAGAAATTGATATTGGAAGAAAATTAAGTTTTCCTTGTTCCTTCTTTTTTTTTCTTTCCATTTCTTTCCCTTTTAAATTTGAATATGTGTGTGGGCAATATGAACCATTTGAAATCAATTTACTAACTAGGGCTTACACAATGCTCCCTTAGAATTATATCGTCCACTTACTTGCTCAGTGAAAATGCAATTTATAGGATTTTCTGGATATGAAACTTTCGGATCCACTTATCAATTATCAGATGATTATTTGCAAAATAAAAGTTTTTATTTGAGTTGATTGGTAGTTTGGTACTTAGATCTGGAAGCCAAAAAATTGGATGGTCTATGCTCAATTTTTATAATGTTGTTTTCTTCACACCTGCAAAGATTAAGTTATATACTTTTTTTCTTTTTTTGATTTTTTTGGGTGGGAAGTTGGTCATTTGGTTTAAGACATATCATCCCCAAAATGTTGGGTTCTATAAATACTCCTACACTGAGTTTTACCAAAGGGAGGAAAGGGACAGTATGTTCCTTGGGAGCACGAAGTCATATGAGTTACTATATTGTCTGTTATTCGATGATATAGTAGGAGAAAATGCAACAAAAAATATCAGAGATGCTTAAAAATGGCTCTCAAATCCCAAAGTGACTTAAGTTTTTTTCTTCATGAGAAGAACTAACCCCCATCTTATTTATATAGAGACCGCCATGGCCTTTGGATTCAAATTTTGTCTACTGTTTAGATTTCACCCACAGTATATTCAATACAATTTGACAAAATCTCAATAGTCCTTGAAAGGTTAATGGATCAGAAGAAAAGTGCAGCATAGAGGAGTAGATTCCATGTATCAGGAAGGCCTGCTACACACCAATGGCTGCAATCGTTACCTCCCCGAGGGGAGTAGATGGAAAGGTGGGCGTCCTTCCGAAGCTGGGAGAGGGTGGTTATGTTGAGGAGGTATGGGGGCCTTTCCATGCTCTCCAACACATTCGCTAGCAACGCCACTACCGGTAGCGACCCACCCGGGTATGTCGACCCCAACAATGGTTGTGTCTGTCCACGGCATGTTTCAGTGTCTCTGCCATTCCACTCAATCCCTCTGTGCACACCCAAATTATGGTCACCAAGACAACACTCTATGTGCCAACGGAACTCGAAAGCATTGAGTCTCAATGCAGTTTCATTCTTTTATTCTCCCCTCCCCCCACACATCCCTGATTTTCATATTTTTCTTGTTATTTTCCCTTCTACCTTTAAGGGCCCATTTGGTTCCTGGGAGTCTCATTTCCATGGAAATGGCTGAGACTGACGTATTTGGTTCACATTTCTGTGTGGAGTCGTGTCTCCTCATTTTAAGCCAAGTTTGAGGAAATGTCAAGTCCTTCAGTGGAATTGATATTTTTTAGAAATCCAAAGTTAGACACATGACCCTAATGTTATTATTGTTACTATTATTAATATTACTACTATTACTTTTATTATTGGTATTATTGATGTTATTATTTAAAGGAAAAAATTTATGTGAGGTGAAGCCCTAAACAATCAAATTATGGTGCACATCAAAAATTCACTAGAAGAGATTGTTTCAACACCCAAAAATCCTTATCAATTATCTCAAACTCAAAATGTATGGATATGAGACAAAATGGATTTTAAGTCTTGGAAACAATGCATCTTGTAATGGATTATTTTAGTCTTAATTTTCAATATTTTCAAGTGTTCATAGATCGGCTTAATCTACACTATTTTTGAAGATTTAAATTTTATAGTGTGCGATGAAAATAAATTTTTAAACCATCACAAAGATTTCTAGTAGTGGCACAATATCTTTTGATAATATTTGAAGGTGCACCTTACTTTGGGTAGTTAAGGCCTCCGCTTTATACAAACAACACCCATATTTAAAATATTTATTATTGAAATAGTCTATTTAATTATATTTTTATTATAGTATTATGTTGTTATCTTAATGTATTGATATCATATTATATCACTATTAAGATATTTGTATTTTATTATAAAAATTTTAATATTATACTATTATATTAACAAAAATAAAAAATATTGTATTAATATATAATTATTATAATTAGCAGAGTCCAATTAATTGGAACAAGGCTTGAATAATGATGATGATGATGATGATGATTGTTATTGTTATTATTATTATTATTATTGGGATAGTCGCAGCGAGACCATTTATCTTTTTTACATGGAGGTCACACTCATTATTATTCATTAGATGTCAAATTGGATGGCTTGAGGTATATCACAGAGTCTGAGAAATTTTTTATTTTTTAAAATTGTGTCTAATCAATGCTATCCCATTTTGAAATTTAAGAGACAACAATAATTGTAACCTCCACGTACAAAAGATAAATAATCTCTTTATATAAAAACCCATTATATTATAATATTATATTATAATAGTTTTGTTATAATATTTTATTTAAAACAATATTCAATCATGAATGGTCTGGGAATGCAGTTAAAATCAGTACTCAAAGGCCCAAAGATTAGTATTGAACTTTATGGGGTTACTCACCGATAGTGGGTTGGAGAAATCCCCTGAAAGAAGACTGTAGTCTTGGAGGTATCAACCTTAGCGTCGGACCATTTGGCCCACGTCTTCATTCCTTGCAAGAAAGCCAAGGTTCGATTCATGTCCTTGAAAACCATATTCCCCTCCCTAATGTAATCCCATCTGCACAAAGGAATTATCTTCCTCATTTCACCATAAATATAATACGTAACATTCATGCGGCGAGAGCGTAAACTTGTTTACTCTTACAAAAAAAAAAAGGATGGCAATCGGGTTGGGTCTAACCGATCCGAGTTCGGGTCTAGGTCCAAGTCATGGACCGGATGAGTTGGGTCCAGATCTAGTCAATCCGACCTGAACATCTCAACACACATATGATATGTTCATAATTTTTTAAAAATATTTAATATTTTAATAAATTTGCGTTCATATGTATGATGTGTATAAGTGTATATTTAAAATATATTTTTTGAATATTTTTCAAAAGCGTTTGTTTTGGTTCTTGACCCAGATCTAAACCAGGTCCAAAACCCTAGACCCAGTTGAGTCTGGGTCGGGCGCGGCCCATCCCCCTTAAAAAAACATGAGAAACTTCTCTCACCCTTTCATATCATCATTGCGGATCCACCAGTGCCACGAATTAAACAACAAAATATCGACTCCAAGCCACACATCTGCTTGTTTGATGGAGTCAAGTACGAGCGCTCTGCCAGTTGGTTCACTCACTATGTCTACAAGGTAATGAGACAGATAATAGGAGATATTCACTCCATACTCCTGTTGATTCCCATTTTAATTATATAAGAATTTCTAAATCAACTGAAATAAATCTGCAAGGTAATGAGACAGATAGTAGGAGATATTCACTCCATGTTGATTCCCATTTTAATTATATAAGAATTTCTAAATCAACTGAAATAAAACAAGGGAAAAGAAAAGCATATGAAAGGCAGCATTGAACGGAAGATATTAAGATCCCGACTCATTAGCACAATTTAGGGAAAATTATGGATACCTTCCATTTTAACTTTTTTCACATCCTACCCCCAATGTTTTTTCTATTATACCCTAAACCTCAACACTATTATACTCTGAACCCAACACCATTTTTTATGACCCCGCACCCTACTGGGCCCCTCTGTCCCACAAAGCCTGCAAGGCCACAGAACCTGCAAAGCGTGGGATCAGACACGGAGGTCGAATCAAGCACAGAGCCCACAGGGCATGGGATCGGACACGGAGGTCAAATCAGGCACAGAGCATATAGGGCATGGGATCGGACACGGAGGTCGAATCAAAGTGGGTATCAAATAGGAGCTCAATAACTCGAAAAAGAATTATAATAACCACTCATCCAAAAAGGTGTGAGCATTCACAAGGAACTAAGATAGGCATAACCATTAATAGGAAACGATTCAGGATGTAAACAGAATCAACCATCGGCAAAGTCCAGGACCTTACACTATTTTTTGTTGTATTTATCCCACTCAAATAGTCAAATCATTTTAGACCAAAATACATTTTTTTTTCTCTCTTCCCTTTTTCAAGATACTTTTTTACATTTCTCTCTCAAACACACTCTCTCTCACCCATCCTCTCTCTCTTTCTCTCTCCACCCATTTCTATCTCTATTTCTATGTCTTTTTCTACGGTCCCTCACTCTTTCTCTCTCTACCTCCCTCAACATTTCTCTCTACCCTCCCTTACTCTCTTTCTATCTCTCTTTCCCTCTCTACCCTCCCTCATTCTTTCTCGCTCAACCACATGTTTTTGCGGCATACCGAATTTCTTTTTGCACTCCGATACATTTTTGTGCTAAACCGCGGACAGCAACCAAAAATTTCAATCCAACACAAAAACTTGGTGGACTGCATTATGGGCATGTGAGTGGTAGAGAGAGAAAGAATGAGGGAGGATAAAGAGAGAAAGAGAGAGAAAGTGAGGAAGGATAGAGAGAGAAATAGGTAGAGATATAAAGAGAGAAAGCAAGAGAGGGTCGTGTCTAAAAGGACAAGGAGAGAAAAAAAAGAAGAGAGGGTAAAAGGGCATTTTGGTCTCAAAATACTTTGACTATAGGGAAAGGTTTCTATACTTTCCCTATAGCATAGAAGATATGCTTCAGCTACCATCCAGGGTCTAATTTTGATCAAGATGTTAATCTTATATCTTAAGATCTCAAAGTATTTTATTTAAGTTTTTTTTTTTATGCATATTGTGTGCATAGAAAATTTCATATGTGCCGTCTTCTCATTGGGGCCCACCTATAAAAAATATTAAAATTAATTTTTAAATAAAATATAATGACCAAAATACCCCTTATATTTTTTTAGGGGTATTTTGGTAATTTAATTTATTGAAAATATTTTTTAAATATTTTTCGCTAGTGCGAGTTTAAATAGAGGATTGGACGTCCAAAATTTGGTATCAAAATAGATTATATAAAAAAAATTAAAAATAAAATAGTATAGAGACGTGACATTGTGATTAGGGCAATCTTAGCCCTCTATTCAAAATGAAGGGTTGGATAAGGGAAGTATATTTTTTTGGAGAAATATCCTCGTACCCCTTATTTTGGATTAGATAAGGGAAGTATATTTCTTTGGAGAAATATCCTTGTACCCCTTATTTTTTGTTTTTATATCTCAATAAATCCAATGATTCAAAATATATCTCCAAACCCCTGACTAACTTTACCTTACCCACTAACTTTACCCACATTTAACTTTTTTTTTAGCCCTAAGAAATATAAAAAAATGCATGATCATTCTAAATCATTTTTCTCTTCACGTGATATATTCACCTCAAATTGCCCTCTTTAAGGGAAATTTGTCTCTCTAAGGGAGAGAGAGTGAGAGACACGAGGGAGGGGAGAGAGGAAAATAGGTAGAGAGAGATATTTAGGAGAAAATCACATGAAGAGAGGGAAATGATAGTGTTTAGAAAGAATATGTCTTTCTTACATTTGTTTGGAAAAAAAAATAGGTTTAAAGGGGATAAAGTTAACTTAAGAGGTTAAAAGATATAAGATATAAAATTTAGAATTTTTATGACCCAGATATATTTTGAAGCCTTAGGTCTATTGAAACCTTAGGTCTATTGAGATATCAAACTGATGTAAGGGAAGCATAGAAAGCTTGCCCTTGATTATAATTTTAGGATTTAGAATATATAATAGAAAAAATATTGAAGCTAGGATGTGTAGAAAGTTAAAATTGAAAAGGTATCTATGATTTTCCCTTGATTTATTGGAAAGAAGATGAAGGAAACCCACCGGGAATAGAAAAGAATGTAATGGGTCTTTTGATACTAGGGTTGTGTGAGGAGCTGGAGCACCGGATTGAATCATGCATGCAAGTGACTGCCACTGGTTCAGGGCTAGCGAATCCCCCACGAACAAAATTCTCTTCCCCTTCATCTTCGACAAGAAGTTTAGAGCGTCGAACCTAAAATTAAATCAACACACCATTAAAACAAAACTAGTAAGAGAACAATTGAAATCGATTTACTCGAATAAGCTAAGCTATGGGATGCCCTTCAATGTATGTTACCTCGGCAGGTCACAGCAGGTCGGTTGCCATCTATATTTCAGGTAGAGCTTATCTGGCCTTCCACTCTTTGCACAGTCGAACATGTTGTTGTAGAAAGTGCAACTCGAAGAATTACAGAGAGGATACGACTCATCGTATACCCAATGCCCGGCAAAGATGTCGCAGCCTGAAGATAATTTTTGGTAGGTACTTTTGGAAACTCCTGCAGTTGCTTCTTTAAGAGAGAAGCTACATATGATGAGAGAAATGGAACAAATGAGCAGCAATGGAGAACCCATATGAAATGGATCACAGGATAACAAACCCTAGAGTTTTCTGGAAATGGATCACAGGAAAACAAACCCTAGAGCTTTCTTGAGATAAAGTCGACATTCACATGCTTATATGCTCTCTCTGTTTCTCCCTACTGTAACCTATCTCTCTTCATCTCTAAGGAGGGAAGATTAGCCTTATCAAGAAATAAATAAATGAGAATGCATATAAATACGATGAGATTTTTATGGATACGTTATTTATCATAAGTTATTTTTGCTCAATTTGGAACGATAATAGAAACGAAGCGCAGTCATGAAATCTCACCATTTCTCAAAGGAATTACAGAAGATCATTTAGCTATAAAAAGATTGATTTTCCATATTTTTGCGGAGTGAGTGCTATGTACATTGAACTATAGATATCAAGGATTCGTAATTACAGTTAATAGAAACAAAATTCAAAAGGAAGTGCTGCTCTTTCCTTTTGAGAAGAAAATAAAACACGATAGAAAAGTACATATTGTATGTAGCACGAGAGAAAGTGTATACTACAATATCTAAAGATCACTTTCTTGCCATTCATAAAAATTTAATCTCTCAATACATCATACGATATTTCTTTTATAAATAAAGATGACTTTCCTTTCCTACACATCCAAACGATGGTTAGCAAGTAAGGGATTATCAATAAATCGGCCATGAAATAAAAAACTAATCGTTTTTATTTTAAAAAGTCGGAAAAAAAATTGGGGAAAAAATATGAATAAAAAAAAATACTTCATGTAAAGAGATCACAAATATATCGGACTAGGCTCAAAAAATCAAAGTAAAAAAATTGGATATATTTAAAATATTAGAAATTTTGAAACTCCAAATATATATATCACTCAATATATAAAAACTTAATAGTAGTGAGGAGTAATGCTTTCACTCTATATATATCACTCCGTATAAAAATGACCTCCATATAAATATAAATTTCAAATATTCAATGTGACATATCTCTAAATCATAAGATGATTATCTATTCTATTCGTCAAGATAAGTATTGGGTAAGTGAATTCAATTTTCATCATTCTAAAAAGAAATTGTCTACCCCATACTTGCTAACTATGGTATACCCATAACCACCTGGAAAAATACGCACCATACACATAGCAGATAATGAGAGAAAGTTTCGGGAGAATAGAAATAAAACTAGAAATAGAAATTTTATAAAACAAGAAAAAGATATTGAACTTTCTAAAAAAAAAAAATCAGAGTTTATTAATTGGAAAGATTTTTTGAAACAATTTTTTCAAATTTTGAAAAAGTCGCTTTTTAAACTCCTTTTTGAAAAGATCGCATATTCTTACTGATCTATTGAAAAGTCACAGATTAAATGTTTTTTCAAAAAAAAAAAAAAACCGTTTTTTTTGAAAAAATCACGATTAAATCGGTGACTTGCTAACCATAATCCAAACCCACAAGATAACTTTCCTAAAACTTCTCTAAAGAGAACCATCTAACCATCGTATTCTTATTTCTAAAACAAAATTAACTCTAATAAAAAATTAAAAAGTCTACCCACTTCTCTAGAATTAAAATTAGTAAAAATAAAAATAAAATTTTGTAACAGATTATGATTTGCAAGAGAGGCACAATCAGTCAAAAAGTTTAAAGGCACAATTATTCAAAAAGTTACTCTCTCTAAAATTCTTTATGGTATACTTCTCTACAGATTTCCTATCAGGCCAACACCCAACAATTTCTCCGGAAGAAGAAAGTCTTCTCGTCTTGATTCCATTATATCTCTCGGCTCTCTACCTCTATATCGTTTACACTGTGCATCATATTTTTCGTTAAACGTCTAACTCCCACTCTCTTTTACATGCAAAGTCTCCTCCATCCCACACGTCAATATGTCTTGTACATCATTTTTTGGTTCCCCTGTATTC